ACAATTATTCTATCAAAAACACTTTAATAGTTTAATTTACGAGTCGATTGGAGTTCAACCACCATGGGTAGCCTGGAAACATTGAACAGTGGCGTAATTTCGTGGATTGATTGAAGTCAGACATCAACACGGTTAGAAGCCAGCTCAGTGGTCTAGAGGTTAAGCGTTCGCGCGCGAGACCGATAGGTCATCGGTTCGAATTCCGCAAGTGGGATCAGGGATGCGCACTGCTGAGGAGTCCCATACTAGGACGAATTTGCCATTCAGTGCTTCCAAGATTTCTATGTTGGTCTAGGTTTAATTGACTCACGAATTCAATTATTAAATTACTAGTCTCCGCACGCGCCCCCCCCCGACATTCACGTTATAATACGTTACAAACTTATTAAGTCTATTGTTATTATTGGTATTACGTAACCCAGTATTATAATCTTTCTATTACATCATCTTAGTTATTCCTTGTTCATATTTCCTCACGGAACTAGTACTTTGACGATTGTAAGATTGTACAGCTTCATAATAAATTCGTTGAAAAGAGATCCCTTCGCTGAACTTCGTGTTTTTGACTAATAAATTTATCAGTTTAGGGGTTGTGGACGAAACGGCCGTCCAGTGCTTCCAGGTTTTCAATGGTGGTCTAACATCAATCGGTTCATAATCTCAATCAAAAATAATACATTTATCTTTAGTTTTTGGGTTGTTGAAATAAGTTTATCGTTAAATTTATGAAATAGCTGATAAGAAAACATTGACCACGTGAAGATTATGATGACGTTTTGTTCTGTGAGCTAGATGGAGCTTTCCGTGGAACGACGAAAGCTCCACGACCAAACCATCCAGCTCAGAGAACAAAACTCCATCGAAATCATCCACTTGAGCTACAAATTTCTCCACCACCTAGATATAAATTTAAATACTGAGAATTTTATTTTGAAATCTAGAAGAATGTTATGTAATATTGACTATTAGATAGAGAAAAGGTTTATATTAGGATTCTTCAAGATGTTTTTCTAGTTTAGAAAGATGGTTTGTCATAATAAGTCTTACGTTAGAAAATGAATAACGATCAGATCAGTCATTTTGTTTTTGTTAAAGACACCCTAGTAGCATCCAGGTGAAATTCCTCATCTAAGTGAACTATAAAAGATCAAGTCAAAAACCATAGACCATCAAATTCTACTTAATTGTATTTGAAATGTTCTACAGTTCTATTTTAGGCTTTATTGAACTGTCGTTTGTCACTTTACAGTTCAGAAATTTCCATCATTACTTTAGAGTATCTAGTTTAAAGTCAGTTAAAAATAACTTCTGAAATAGTGTCCCGATCGATACAACTCGATCAGCATTAAAACAGACAAGACAAACAAAACACTTTACAGTACTCGAAAATTAATCGATCGTACAAAATCATTCCCATAAAAGTCTATTTGTAATCAGAAGAGTTCTGCGGTGACTTCTTAAATTGTGAAATTGGATGACATGGTATCAGATCGCCTAAGGATCACCAGTTCCTTCAAAATTACAGCCATATCTTGTTGACAAATCTCTAACAACACAACACTTAGATCCAGAGTCTAATATCAACTATTTCCAATCATCTAATCAATAAATTTAACTTCGGAAATAATAAAAAAATATATTTATCAAGTGTGAATGAAAAGATTCTAAAGTTTAATTTACAAAGTACCAAAGACGATTTATCTCAAAAATTTATCACCATTAGGTCTAAGATAAAAATCCTTTTCATATCTAAATAAACCTGTACTTTGTCCATAGTTTGTACTGTTTTTCGTTGTGTGTTTTTTTGTAGATGAAGTGACTTGTATCTCTGGCTATAGACAGTTTCTATTTTTAATACTGAATACATATTTATAATTGTAACTTGTATTACTTTACTTAAGCCTAACATAAGAAACTCTCTCTCGCTCTCTCTCTCATCGACTTATCAAGTGTGTTCACACACAAAGAGAGACACGCAAAGAAATTGACTTAAAGCCTAAATTATACTTAGTAAATAGGTTATATTTTGAAAAATCAATTAAAATTTTCTGATATACGAAAGAACTAAGTTTCTTTCTTTCATCTGAAAACAATTTTTATCACGATCATATTCCTTCAACCATCCTCTATAAAAAGTTTTTATTATTACCTATTGTATTAAACTATATGATTACAACTATAAGCATTACAGAACTAAGAAATGTTTTAGACTTATTTTGTTTAGATAGAAAAGTCCTCAGATGCCCTGATACAGCTGAGAGTGAAAAGAGTCAGCTTTTCCTCTCGTAATGCTCTCACATGACCACGTGCATACAACCACTGCAATGGAAGTCCTAATCATTGCCTTCTTGCGGCATTACTGTTGTTTACGAAATTGAGAAGATGAAAAGTGAATGTTTAGCGATTTAACCGAGTTGGTGGACACGAAGAGTTCACCTAGACGAGTTGGAAAACCATCATTCCAAATTAATGGTGTATATGGGCTCCAGTATTCTGAAGGAACAAATAGCTTATGAACCTAATGTTGGTCATCGGCTATCATGGGACTAAATCTCCTTACGTTGCTTCATTACCTTGTGAATTAAACCTCTAGGTCAAAGGCCTAGGATGTGGCCTCTTAAGAAAACTACCTACTTCTGTCTGAGCAACAGAGCTGTATCCCAGCCCTCACATAAATCAAATGATTTATATGGCTCATATCTCATTTGTGTTTAAAGAAATAGAAAGGGAAAGACAAAACCAACAATAATATAAACAAAGAAACAACGAAAAAAAAGAAGTATTAATGACAAATAACTGTTAATTTTCGCTTAATTGTTCACTCGTTCGCTACCCCATTCCCTCCTTTACCCATATTCCAGTTTACTCATTTCATAAACAGAATGACTACGGATAATAATAATAATAATAACGACGGTAGTAGTGATGGTGATAGTTGATTCTTGTTTATTTGTATTTAATGTATCAATGTTTACGCATTTCATTCCATTCAAAATTAAATTTTAACAAATCCGTTGATTTGATAGAAAAAGAACAATAATTGTAAATGAGGAAATCATTTTAGAAAGCGAATATAAATGATTTAAAAAAAGGAAGTTATTTGAGATGGTGGAGAAGATTTGTAACTCAGGTGGGTGATTTTGATGGAGTTTTGTTCTCTGAGCTGGATGGTTTGGTCGTTGAGCTTTGATCGTTCTTCTGAACAACATCATCAGCACAAACTTCAGATAGAAATGAAGTGTTCGAAACGCATATGGAGAAATTCGAACACTTCACTTCTATCTAAAGTTTGTGCTGATGATGTCGTTCAGAAGAAAGATGAAAGCTCCACAACCATACCATCCAGTTCAGCAAACAAAACTCCGTCAAAAGGAAGTTAGTTATTTGTTAGATTTTATGAAGTGTATTTTTTTATCAGAGGTTTTGTGAAGATTGTAATAATTTCAATAGTTGAGATCATGAAGCTAAACCGCCATGGAAAACCTGGAAGCACTCGATGACCGTCTTGTCCTAGAACGGGACTCTTAAGCAGTGCGCATCCATGATCCCGTCTCGCGAGATTCGAACTCAGGACACTCGGTCTCGCGCGCAAGCACTTAACCACTAGACCACTGAGCTGGCCGGTATCCAACAATGTTAATATCTAACTTCAAACAACTATAATCTAGTTTAATATGAAAGGAAGCATTTGTTACTACATTACTCAACTGTTTTAGTAAATTACTTCATCAAAATTTATGATCTTGTATTATGATGATTATCTTAACTGACTAACTGTCAGGCAATGAGAGACAATCGTCACAAACATATAAAACTCCCAATTGTATTCCCTAAATCAAATATGTAATATCCATTTCAGAGATCAGATACATTGGGAGTTCTCACCAATGCTTATTCACGATCTCTTACGCGGAAATTCAACACAGAATATTTGGTATCACCTGTGAAAGCTTAACTTCTAATTAATTCAAAATTGACTAGTAACTCAAAAACGAAACAACGTACAATACAATAAAAAATGAAACATTAAAAAGAAAGTGTTTTTTAACTCTTCTATTTTGTCAAGTTTCAAAATATGGGCTTAGTTACTCAACAATACCGTGTAATAATATGAGAACGAAGATTATTACATAATCACGATAATGTGGTGTGGGATACTTATAACCGCACAAGTAGTATATAACGGTGGTCAGGAATAGAATGTATTTCAGTAGAAGGTCGATGAGGAAAGAACGAGAACGGAACGCAATTGGTATGAAAACGCATGCACAATGAAATCTGAGACAATGGATTGGTGTCTGCAACAGAAACATTCAAGTTTCATATGATGGATTGACATTTTGCAAATTAACGATTTACGACATGGTTCTCAGTTTTTATTGAGATACTCTGTAATTTTGTACTCGAATACATTCAACTGTCCCCACTGGTGTTCTTGTTCACTACGATAGTATAATGGTTAAAGAATAAAAGAAATCACATGGTTTCCCTCTTAAATCTATATTTTCCCATGACTAACGATTTCTGGCTATAAGCAACAGGATTTTTAACTAAACAATATGTTAAAACGAATGTAGACTGTACGTTGTGTCAGTATTTCTAGAACCAAATGTACAATAATAAACCTTACGATCGATAAATGATAGTAGTACTGTATCAAAAAGAGACTTAAATGGGACAAATAGATTAGAACACAGTGATTTGGAAGCGATATCCTAGTATTGGGCTCCATAGTAGTGCCCGTCCACGACCAGACAACTGGAAATAGGATTCAGGATTTTCAGTCCCATATCCAGACGTTCAGCGGTTGAAAGGTTAGACAATTCTGCGCGAGGGCATAGGTCCTGGGTTCGTTTCTCGGCTCTGTGGTCGTGGATCCGAACTATTATGGGGTCCTATACTAATATGAAACTGTGGTATGTTGCCTTCGGGTTTTCAATGCTTATCTGACTTAGATCGGTTTGTAATATAATGAAATATTTCATATATAAATAACTTACTTGAATCATTAGGATCTTCAATTGATTCTGAAGTATGAAATTGCATACACATACTTGTCTTACCAACTCTGGCTGTACCAATTACTTGAACTTGAAGTAAACGATCATCTAGAAATAGTTCACCACCAGATGGTGATTCTAATTTATTAGGTGAATTATCTGGACTTTCTGTTACAATTGCCCATGATTTAGAACGTAGTCTAGTCTCTGGTATAAATCCTCTAACTGGACTACTTGCACGCTTACTGTAAATTTTAAGTAAACCATCATTTGAAGCTCTTGGTGAACTAGCCAAATTTGTAGTGATTGCCGGGATCTCAATTACCTCATCACTTAATGATGATTCAGAGAGATTTTGACTACTTTCAGGTATTGATCGTGGATAAACCACTGATCCTCGTGAATCACCCGATGGACTCCTGGATGCAAATATCTCTATCTGTGGAACATCTCGATCACCTTTACTAATAACATCACCATGTTTATTTCGTTCAAAACGTCGAACACGTAACATTTGTTCATCTGTCTGACTGATTGAATGACGACTAGGTGAATATTGAGAGAATGGATGATTTGTTGGATGTAATGTTGGAGCCGATGGTCTTGATTTATGTTTTTCTTGACTTCTTGTACGTTTATAACTAGTTTCTTTCATAGATCCTGGTCTATCACGAGTAGTACCAAGTCTATACATTGCTGGAGAACATGAATAAGGACTTGAAGATTCACGACTTGTATCTAAATTTTGCCAATATCTTTGTGTATTATCATTAGTTCGTAAAACATTTGTATCATTTGATTCATTATTATAATAACGAGAACGTTGTTGTTGTTTTTGTCTATAATTAAATTGATTTAATTCATTTGAATGATCCCATTGTGGACTAGATCTAATTGGTGATCTAGTTGCACTAATTTCACCACTAAAACTACTTGGTTGAAATGATTTACGTCGTTTAGGTTCTCTAAAACTTGATGCACGTTTTAATGATTCAACATTTAATGTTGATAAATATTCTGATTGATTAATAGGTGTTATATTATTTCCACGATAAGTTGGTTCAGTTATTTGTATTGTTGGTGCTAAACTATCTCTTGGTGAACGTTGGGCTATATGACAAAATCGTTCAAAATCATCAGTTATTTCATAATTATCCATATTATTAGATGATCAATGTTAAATGTGATCCACAATATTACTAAGCATATATAATACAATTGTATAATGTTATAATGATAAGATCAAAAAGTGTTTATTTCAATGCCTTTGTTATTTTAATTTTTCTTTATACTCAGTGAAGGTGGAAATTTTCTTTTTTTTTTGAATTTTTTTTTCCCAAATGATATTCATTTAACCAATCAAATTGTTTATTATTATTGTTGACCTTATAAAGGGTAAACATGCAAACAATCATAAGACACATCCATATACATAACGGGTAATAATAATAAACTTCTCATTTTTGGGGAACTTGTTGGTCATTCATATTATTCATAGTTCCAGTAAGTTTGTTTGTATGCTTTGAACAAACATTATATGTTGTCTGTCTCTCTATCTACCTGTCTGTCTGTCTAACGATCTATTTGTGTGTTATATTTTATTTCCCAATAGATATGAAAATAGTCACAACAAAATTTCTTTTGTTGGGAAATATATTTATTTCTTGATGTTTTGATGAATACATATAATGGAAAGTTATGGCGTTGTAGGATCTGTGATAAGAACTATTAGTTATAGAATGTTAATTTAAAGCCCTCAAATGCCCTGGTACGTCGAAGAGTGAGGAGAGTCCGCTCACCCTCTTGAAATACTCTCACATGGCCATGCGTATATAGCCTCTGCCAGGGAAGTCCTACTCATTGCCTTCTCAGGGCCACGATGTTGTTTACGAAATTGAGGGGATGAAAAGCGAATGTCCGGCGCTTGAAACCGGGTTAATGGACACGGAGAGTCCACCTAGGGTAGTTGGAAAACCCTGATTCCAAATCAATGGTGAACATGGGCTCCAATATCCTAAAGCAACAAATGGCGTATGAATCAATAGTTGGTCACCGGCTTACGTAGGACTGCATCTCCTCACGATGCTCCACTGCCTTGTGGATCAGACCTTTAGATCGAAGGCTCCAAGTGTGGCCCCCTAAATAAACCAGCGGCTTCTGTTTGGGCACCTGGGCAGTATCACAGCCCTAACACAAATCAAATGAGATCTTTGTGGTGCATATGCACTTGGTGCCTCCTTGTACCAATATCTATGTGTTAAAATAAATAAATAAATAAAAAGGAGATTCACTGATCGTCATCAGAATCAAAAATATTGTAGTGAACCACATTAGATACATGCAGATGTGACGGCGTGGATCGATAAAACAAAAGTAGGATATCTACAATTGAAAAATATCTGGAAATCAAAACAACTGTCTGTCAAAAAACACCAAAGTCAGAATTTTCCATACAAATGTCAAGATAGCTCCACTAAATGTGGCGCAAACTTGGAGAACTACAAAAGCCATCATCCAAAAGATACAAGTGTTTATCAACAGTTGTCTACGTAAAATACTTTGGATCCCTTGACCAGACAATATCAGCAACAACCTACTATGAGAGAGAATAGACCAGATTCCAGTGGAAGAAATCAGGAAGAAGTGGTAGAAGTGGATAGGACACACATTGAGGAAAGTACCGAACTGTATCACAAGGCAAACCCTCACATGGAATCCTCATGGCCGAAGAAAGAGTAGAATCCCAAAGAACGCATTACATCGAGAAATGGAGACAGACATGAGAAAAAAAGAAGCAAACATTTTGTAGAACGGGAAAGGAAGTCCTAGGACAGAGTGGGTCGGAGAATACGGGTAGGCAGCCTACGCTCCATTGAGAGAAACAGGCATCAGTAAATAAGTAAGTAAATTAGATGCAGAATGAGTTAAACGTAAATAGGCACTGAAGGGGTTTTGTGGATACTTTAACAATTTTTAATAGTTGAGATCATGAGTCAACTGAAGCTAGACCACTATGGAACACATGGAAGCACTTGATGGCCGTTTCGTCCCAGTATGGAAATTCTTAGCAGTGCGCATCCACGATAATGTCTTGCGAGATTCGAACCCAGGACATATAGGCCCCGCGCGCGATTTCACTGTTGTCCTGAGTTCCATGGGAACGTTTCCCTTACTATCCTAACCCTCCATTTAATGCATGCATAAAATCATCCTTGTACATCGATGATGCAAACCACACAATTGAAAGAGTCCACGTCCTCCAGAAATTCTTCATCAAATGCGATTGAGTTGATGTTCTCTGTGTTGTATTTCGAAATGTCGCTTTGTCGTCTGTGAAGATCAAATCACCTAGTTGCATACAAACTGTACATTACATTCACACATTCCACTCAAAAGTCGAGTTCTTCATAATAAAGTCATGAGATATTAATTGATAACACATGTGACGATTGCAGCATCATCCAACTATACATTTCTGTGATTATTAAAGATAAACTTGGTTCCTCAATATCATTCAGTGAAAATGTACAATTCACAATCATTTTCATCAACTAAATGACAAGCACTAATTTCATGACCAATGAACACATCAACACAATATCGTACATTCCACACAGCTCCAATGACAATGCATGTCGTCAACTGATTTCGTTGACTTTTCATCAATCCTCATGCAAAATTAAAAATTCACACATGTCATCAATCACCATATTTGAAAAACTGTTTCACACAACAGAATAGTATTCAGTGCACACATACGGAATTGAATGAATGTGTGAATTGAAAGTTTCAAAGAGAACAGATTGTCAGGTATTAAACACCATTCCTACACTCATCATATTGACTATGTCCACACAGACACGTTCAGTAAATCAAAGTCTACACAAAGGAAGAAAATGACCAACCGTTCACTACGTTTTATTTAGAAGTGAATTACACCAATAAGACGACTGAACCAATCTCGAAATTCACACTTCAATTAAGCTCATTTTCCAGAACAACTAATCCAACATTCACAGAAACATTGGTCTCATGACATACATCCCCTCCAAATACACACCACCATCATTCTGTCAACAAATCGATTATCTCCAACACCTCACACTTTCATTTAATTGATGATGGAAACAGGTAGGACACCAAACACCCAATTCATAAAGACCATCACCATCACCATCACCGTCAATACTCGTACATTTACAACAAATCTATCACTGTTCACTCATTTGTCACAACAAAATCCGACTTATACGATGTGTGAGATAAATTCACATACTACTGTATTATCATTCACACCGCCTAAAATATGCCATCACACACAATATCACATTGATCGAACATTATCAACATTATCAACAAATTTGGTCACCTAATACAATATACACTGAACAATGTAAACAACTGTTATGAGATGGAAACAGGTGAAAATGGATAAGTGAATCAACTAATTCCAATCGATTCCAATTACAATGATGCAAATGATGCAATTACATTTCTTCCCTATCTATCACTACCTCAATAATTGTAAGTAAATTCAATGGATTCCAATCATGCGCATTAATCCATTTTTCCACACAAAATATGTAAATCCACCATTTCACACGTAAATAATAGAAACCGTCGTTGTAGTGACTCCGTTAAAACAAATACGTTAAAAGAACACATTTAACTGGTTTAACTAAACAAGTGTTTTCAAAAAGTTCTGTCAAGTTCATTTAGCATTCTACGTAAACAGTCAGTTCATTCATGTAAATGCATTTCGGTGTGGAAAATTGATCAACGATGTGACCAACAAATTATGGTGGTGTTTTTGAATCGATGGACAGATTGCGGTAGACCATTCCACAGTCTCGAACATTTACTCATACACTAATTCATATACAGATCAAATTTACAGCTCGATAATAACAGTTCAGTGAGATTCATGCAGAAACATACGAATCGAGGTGTGCAGTTGAGCAATGTTAATATAAATCAAGAAAGAGAAGTAGCATTTTAGTTTGTCAACATACCTAAACAAATGTTAGCAGAATAAAACGATTGGATGTGTCCACTTCCAATAGCATGAGTGATATAAACAACAGCTCTCAAAACATGCATAAATATTCACCGTCAACAGATGTTGGAACACATCAGGCTGGACTGTTCAAAATAATAACTTCCAATCAACACGAACGATCCAACTCAAAATCACTTGCCAAATTTCAAATCGAATTGTGTTAATGATGAAATAAATGAGACTAGCACATCTCGAGTTGTCACTTCCAATACATTTTCAATCACTTCAACAACAATAATCTCACTTGTAACACAAACACTCTCTCCCACAAATAATACATCCTTCCAATTTCTCTATCACATTACTCACATGTTAACATTGTTTAGTCAACAACAAGAATTTCATTTCATACAAATTTCGATACATGTTGTTTACATGAGTAAGTATAATGATGAAATATTACTACATCCTCTATTCACAATAATGATACAGTCCATTGTGAATGATTGTTTAGAAGGTAATTATCGAAAAAGATAAACAAATAACTAGACCATTGTCTCCTCCTCTTTATCTAGCACACATTAATCAATTCTCGAAACAGTTAGTTATCGTTCACTGTCCGACTAACACAACACGTATTCAATCACGTTCTGTTCTACACGGTCACCATCCCATTTCGTATACAACATCATCATTTTGTCCATAGTATGGAATTTCATCGTTATTTTAAACTAACCACATTCCGTTATGGTTGTGCACATTTTCATCTGTAGAGTATTTAACAAGTTCATTGAGTAACTACAGGATTTCATTCTCGCAATAATTTTCACTACCAAAACTCATCGATAATTCATCTACTGTTCCCATTTTCCTTTCACACTTTTTCACACCGTTCAATTATAAGATCACCAATTGCATAGTTTTGTTCACATCCTGACACTATTGATACTCTCGAATAATTAATTAGATCACTTGTCAATGTAAAATAGATGCGATATACTTGATAAAAAAGTGATAAGTATAATTTGGGTTAGATCCGAACGAGTAAAACAAGTTGTGTTTAAGATGGTTCGTCACTAAATGTAAACCATTCCTCCACAGTAAATATTAGAAACGAATTAAATTAATACAAATTTAAACGGTATTTCAGTTAATTATATATGGAGAATTATTTATATCACATTCAGTTTCAAGTTACGAGTAATCATCGAGAACAGTCGGGATTCATTAGTGTTGGGGACGATCGATCACAAAACTCATATTTTGACGACGACAGTTCCAGTTCGAAAAAACAAAAGCAAATCCGGAATTATTCTCTCCATATATAAGTGTTTAAAATAGATCAAAGATAATTTGAGAATAGTCAAAAACAATACATCTCGAACTGATAAACTTAGGATAGGCAACATTTCAGCAACACTTTCAGATTTAACGTAGAATGAAGTGGTTGTGCACAGCTGAGGAGTCCCACTGTAGGACGAAACGGCCTGTCCAGTGCCTCCATGTTTTCAATGGTGGTCTAACA